GGTACTCCTTTAGCCTCGGGACAGGTGCTGTCTCATGGTGGTCGACTCGGGCGTCGTCCGTTGCCGGTTCCAGCTGTGAGGCAGAGGTGTACGCTGCGGCCATGGCCGCTCAGGAGCTTTGCTGGCTGTCTTTCCTTCTCACCGACCTTGGTGAGCGGCCTCGCTCTCCCCCAGTCTTGTTCGCCGACAACAGGTCTGCTGTCCTGTTGTGTGACGAGCCCCGACTGGTTGGGAAGGCGAAGCACATCCAACTTCGTTACTTCCTTCTGCGTGAGTTGCAGCAGCATGGCCAGGCGCTCGTTCGACGTGTTGTCTAAGAGGCCAACACGGCAGATATCTTCACCAAGGCGTTGCCGCCTTGTGACCACCAGCGTTTCTGCACCCAGCTTGGCCTTGTGCCTGCCCGTCCACACTTGCTTACGTAGAGATGCCTTGTCCTGCATGTCTTGTACTCTTGCATCTCTTTATATTTGCTATATACCTACATGTGGACTGGCCTTGTGGCCCCTTGTTTGCTCTCGGAGTGTGTGGTGCCTTTGAGCTCCACCCTGAGATTTGTCTTGTTCTTGTGGACTGGTCTTGTGACCGTTGCTTGCTCTTGTTGTTTCTACAGGACTACCGTCACCTAGACTACGGGGGTGTGTCAAACTATAATTCTATAGTTTGTGTAGTTCTAGTCCAGGTGTTCTCCCTTATGTTATTTTCTACTTGCACTAGGGCTAGGTTTTGCATATATCTTGTTTGTACTTTCTGTTTTAGTCAATTTTACATTGTGACACGGGGCAGGTTGACGATGCGTCGGTGTTCCGGGTCTGGGGTTCTCGTGCCTTAGTCCGCGATACCACCGCGGACAAGCTCTCCGCCCGCGCTGTTCCCTGTGTCTTCCTTGGCTTTGTCCCTGACGCGCCTTGTTGGCAGTTTTACCACCCCACCTCGCGCCGTGTCTTCCCCTCTCAGGACGTCACGTTCGATGAGTCGGTTCCCTTTTACCGTCTCTTCCCCTACCGCACTGCCCCTCTCCCCCCCCCGCCGCTCTTCCTCGCTCCAGGTGCTCCCCAGGTAGACCCCCTCCCCACTCCCGGTCCTGCTCCTTCAGGTGTGTCTCAGGTAGACCCTCCTCCCTTGACTCCGCCGGTTGAGGTCACTAGTGACTCAGGTCCTGCTGAGGGTGGTCCTGCTCAGGTTGCTGCTTCTGGGGGTGCTGATCCTGGGGGTGCGGAGCCTGGGGGTGCTGAGCCTGGGGGTGCGGAGCCTGGAGGTGCTGAGCCTGGGCGTAAGGAGTCTGGCGGTGCTGAGCCTGGGGGTACTGAGTCTGGGGGTGCTGCACCTGGGGGCGCTGAGGCGTCTGGTGAGCAGTCTCCCTGGAGCGGCCGTCTCCGTAGTCGCTCCGCTGGTGCCTCGCCGCTGCACTCTCGTCGTCGTCTCCCTCTCTCCCCACAGCAGCTGCGTGAGTGGTACGTTAGCCGTCAGGGTCGAGCTGCTGGAGCTGGGGGCCCTACTGCGGGAGGCGCTGGTGTTGGAGGCACTGGAGTCGGCGCTGTCCCTCTCTCCCCACAGCAGCTGCGTGAATGATACGTTAGCCGTCAGGGTCGCGCTGCTGGAGCTAGGGGCCCTGCTGCGGGAGGCGCTGGAGCTGGTGACTCTGCTACTGGGGTTGTTTCTACTGGAGTTCCTGGAGCAGCTGGTCCCGGAGGTGCTCGTACTGGAGGTACTGGAGCTACTGGGACTGGAGGTCCTGCTGGACCTGGAGGTGCTGCTGTCGACTCTGAGGTTGGTGGCCCTGGAGCTGGAGGTGCCGGTTCTGGGGGTGCTACTGCTGGTGGCGCTGGAGCTGGAGGTTCTGGAGCTGCTGCGGGTGCTGGCGCTGGAGGTTCTGGAGCTGTTGGAGGTGTTGGCGCTGGTGGCGCTGGAGCTGGAGGTTCTGGAGCTGTTGGAGGTGCTGGCGCTGGTGGCGCTGGAGCTGGAGGTTCTGGAGCTGCTGCGGGTGCTGGCGCTGGAGGTTCTGGAGCTGTTAAGGGGTGCTGGCGTTGGTGGCGCCGGAGCTGAAGGTTCTGGAGCTGCTGCGGGTGCTGGCGCTGGAGGTTCTGGAGGTGCAGAAGGTGCTGGAGCTAATGGTGCTGGTGGCGTTGCACAGCCGCTACTGTTCTTGCCGTCACCTTCGTCTCTGCCACGGCATGGCTCCGCGCTTCGCCAGGTTCTTTGCCTCCCGTCTTCTACTGGTCTTCCGTTACAGCCTGGCTCACCGCTGCCTGCTCCTTCTTCTTGCACTGAGCTGACAAGCGGTCTTGCTGAGCGTCATGAGCCTGCGCTCGTCCTGTCTAGCCTGTTTGCACTGTCCGCACTGGTCGTACTGGTGGTCGTGTTTCTCGTGAGCGTCCGCCGGCTGTCCCCGACACACACCTCATCGCCCTGCGTCCTTCCCCTGATCTGCAGCGTGTTCCCCTGCCGTCCCCTCCTACGTCTTCTCTGCCTAACGTTCCAGAGCCTGAGCTCGACCGCGCTCGTGCTGCTCACCCTACTGTTACGCGCCTGCTAGCCACGGTTGTCACTGACCCGTCGTTTGAGTCTGCTGCTGCGTCTTCCTTAGTCGCTGAGCTTTTTGACTTTGCTGCTGCCTGTTGTCTAGACTACGCCGCTAGTCTTGTTCCTGAGTCTGAGTCTATCCGTCCTCCGTCCGTTGGGGGTGAGTGTGCTCTTGGCCCGGAACTCCTTGAGGACAGGCAGGAGGACCTTGAGTGTCTTGCAGCCGCTGCGCCTCATCTCGTGTCCATGTTGCTTGCCCCTGAGGGAGATCCGGATGCACCAGACATCCCGACTCTGCGTTCTTACGCTGAGGCGATCGCGGGTCCCTACTCCGCGTTCTCTCGCAGACAGCCATGGACGCAGAGATGGCATCCTGGAAGTCCACAGGCACTTACGTCGACGAGGTTCCCCTCTTGGGGCGAACATCGTCGATGGCATGTGGATTTTCATGGTGAAGCGGCCGCCAGGTTCTCCGCCTGTCTTCAAGGCTCGTTACGTTGCTCGAGGCTTCAGTCAGCGGAAGGGAGTCGACTTCTTCCAGACCTTCTCCCCCACCCCGAAGATGACCACTCTTCGGGTGCTACTGCACGTTGCCATTTAGCGTGACTACGAGCTTCACTCTCTTGACTTCCGCACAGCCTTCTTACAGGGCAGCCTACACGAGGAAATCTGGCTGCGCCGCCCACCTGGCTTCACTGGGTCGTTCCCTCCTGGTACCCAGTGGAGCCTCCGGCGGCCAGTCTACGGTCTCCGCCAGGCGCCGCGTGAGTGGCACGACACACTGAGGACAACACTTGCGGCTCTTGGGTTTGCTCCGTCGACTGCTGACCCGTCGCTGTTTCTGCACACCGACACTTCACTGTCGCCATTCTACATCCTCGTGTACGTCGACGACTTGGTCTTTGCCACTGCTAACACTGAGGCTCTCGCCGTGGTGAAGTCGGAGCTGCAGAAGAGACACACGTGCACAGACCTGGGTGAGCTGCGCAGCTACCTTGGCTTGCAGATCACCCGGGACAGAGCACGCCGCACCATCACACTGACTCAGTCACACATGGTACAGCAGGTCCTTTAACTCTTCGGCTTCACCTGGTCCTCAGCACAGGCCACTCCTCTGGCTACAGGTCACTCGCTCTCAGCTCCACCTTCGGACGAGTCCGTAGAGCCGAGTGGTCCTTACCCAGAGCTAGTGGGCTGCTTCATGTACCTGATGACATGCACTCGTCCTGACCTTGCGTACCCTTTTGGCCTTCTGGCTCGCTACGTGGCTCCTGGTCGGCACCGAAAAGTGCACATGGATGCTGCTAAGAGGGTACTACGCTACTTGTGCAGTACATCGGGCATGGGGCTCGTGCTCGGAGGACGGGGCGACGTTGTCCTCACTGGTCACTCAGACGCTTTGTGGGTTGACGACTTGGCTACGCAGCGGTCGTCACATGGTTACACCTTCAGCCTTGGCTCTGGCTCTGTTTCTTGGCGGTCTACACGCTCTTCCTCTATTCTCAGCTCCAGTTGCGAGGCTGAGATCTACGCCACAGCCATGGCTGCACAGGAGTTACGCTGGCTTACCTACCTGGTGACCGACTTGGGAGAGCGGCCTCGTTCTCCTCCAGTGCTGTACGTAGACAACAAGGCCGCCATTGCCTTGTGTCAGGAGCACAGATTGGAGCACAGAACGAAGCACATCGCTCTGCGTTACTTGCTTGCTCGAGAGTTGCAGCAGCGTGGTCAGCTTCGTCTTGCTCACGTGGCCACTCAGGCCAACACTGCTGATATATTCACCAAGGCACTTCCGCCTGGTGATCATCAGCGCTTTTGTACTTTGTTGGGCCTTGTGCCTACGTTTCCTCACTTGCTGTAGGTTCTGCATGTACTGTGATCTATATATATACACCTGCATGCTTGCTCCTGGTAGGTAGAGATCACTGTGCTGTTGTTGTTGCATATATACCTCTGCGTGTGAACTGGCCTTGTGGCCCTTTGCTTGTGCTCAGTGTGTGTGGTGACGTTGTGATCCACCCTGAGCTTGCTTTGCTTCTCTTGACTGGTCTTGTGACCCCTTGCTCTCCCCCACTTTGCCTATGAGGGTGTGTCAAATTATATGTATGTTATATATGTGTAGGCTGTAGTGGGGTAGTGAATATGGGGTACAACCCCATTAGGGTTTCATATTTGTACCAAACCCTGATCTAGTCAATTCATTCCTGCTACTAGATTCTAACAAGAATGCTTGCAATTCGCGATATAACGTTTCTCAACATTAAATGTTCACCTATTGAACATCATTGAGCATTACCGTCATCGCCCGGATATAAGACAGTGTTGAATAGTAGACAGGGGTTGTCTACTATACGGGTATCTCTTATAAACAGGCTAGCCTTTTTATACGACACCTATTTGTGTGTACGAGTTAAGACATATATGTCTTATAATCAGAACCGGGGTACATGCATACATTCATGAATCTCTACTTCTACCTAACCCCCCTCAGTCACCGCCTCCTCGCCTGCGCTAACAACAGGCTCTACACCCAGGTCTGGCACTCGCCAGGCATGCTTAGCCGTCTCCCTAGGCTCGATCATGCGGCCAGCCTCGGCCGCCGCCCCGCGGTAGTTGGGGGTCTCCTGGTACAGCACCTCCAGGCCGGTTGCCACTGCCACCTCCCGCACGCCCTCCGCCTGCATCGCCTCCTCCTCCTCCTCCTCCTCCTCCTCCTCCTCCTCCTCCTCCTCCTCCTCCTCCTCCTCCTCCTCCTCCTCCTCCTCCTCCTCTGGAGCCCGACCGAGCAGGCGCGTGTTGTCGCCTGTGGTCCCCCCGAGGGACATGTCCGCGGAGACATCAGTGGTGCTCCTGGCGCGCAGGTGAGACATCACCAGGTGGTTCTCCGTTCCGTCCAGCTTGCTTGAGATCCCACAGTGGCGGAACGCGTCGATGATGATCTGCTTGGGGACTTGATCCCAAGCCTCCGCGATCCACTGCAGCACCACGGGGTGGGGCGGCCTCCGCAGGTTTCCTGCGGGTGGGTTTGAGGACGGGGCAGCGAGATGTTAGAGACACGGACATGAAGGAGCATGTTTAAGACAAGGACAGGAAACAGAATAGGAATAATACCATAAATGAAGGACCAACTCACCCTTATTCGTCTTCAGGTGAATCCCCTCACGCATGAACCACCTGGCGTAGCGCGCTCGCACAGCAGCCTTGAAGCACCGGTTGATTGAGACGTCCAGGGGTTGAATCTGGCTCGTACAACCCGCTGGGATGACTGCAGGGGTGATGCTGTGCGTGCGGTACGACTGAAGCATGGTCTGGGTGATGTGACCGCGGTAGGAGTCCAACACCAGCATCGCACGCCTCGCGTTCTGGCCGCGCTGGGGGTTCAGATGGGGCAGCACCTCCTTGGACAGCCAGGTCTGCACAGCGCTCTCGTCCATCCACCCGTTGTCCTGTGCTTGGACCACGATTCCTGCCAGGCACACAAGGGACACACGGGCTTCAGCACAGTGGGGCACGCTCATCAGGCAGTCGCACGGTTGAATTCATTATGCTTACCTTCCGGAATCTCACAGTTGGGGACGTTCTTCATCTTGAACCACACCCACGGCCGCAGCTTCTCCCCGGATGCAGTGCACGCGAGCATCACCGTCAAGCGCGTTTTCTGGTAGCCTGTAGTGCGGATTAGGACCGAGCGCGCGCCGCGGTGCTCGATCGTCCGTTCGGCTGGCATCTCCACGAATAGTGGAGTCTGGTCCGCGTTGATGATGCGGGCCAGGTCGATGTTGTGCCGCGCCCTGTTGATGCGCACGAACTTCCAGAAGGACTCGCAGTCCTTCGCGCACTCTGCAAACGGTACACGCGCAACGGAAACACGGGATGGTTAGACACTGGGTGAGGGACATGCATTCAATAGCCCGCGCGCGACACGAATTCCTTCAACACGCACCTGCCGACAGTCGTTGGCCGACCTTGGTCTTCACCCGCATCACCAGGTTCCAGCGGTCACGGAAACGCTGGCTCCAGTGAGAGCTCGCGTTCCAGTTCTTGCCGGCGTGATGCTTCTTCATCCACTCGCGGCTCCACTTCTGGGTGTCCTTCACCGAGATGGCCACCCCGTTAGCGCGCTGAAGGCAGATGTAGCGGTACAACGCTGCCTCCATGTCGGGGTAGTGTGAGTGGCGCCCCCCCCCGTGCATCCGCTTGCGGCAGTTAGCCGCGCCCTTGTAGACGCCCGCAGCCGCCTCCGCACTCCAGCGTCTGATGCAGGCGATGGACGCGGTTGACTCCACGCTCGTCTTCTTCAAGGAGCCGAGCTCCAGATAGCGGCGCGCCCACTTAAGCTTCTCACGCACGGTCCAACTGCGGCGCTTCCTCGTAGTGTCCTTGCTGCGAGGGGAAGGTGGGCGGGTGTTGGGATTATGGAGGGTGGGGTCCTTCGGCGTGACCTTCTCAGGGAACGTGGGAATCGGGCCCGCCGCCGCCGCGTACTCATCCTCGCTGCCCAGAGTCTCGTTCACGACGATGTCGTCAGGATTCGGCGCCTTCATCGCCTTCTTCTTAGCCGCACCCTTGCTAGATCCCGGGTCTCCGTCGGATGTCCGCTTCTTGTTGCTTGTGCGGCGACGAGCAGGGGCCTTAGCAGGGGCTTCCGCGACCTTGGCTTTTCCCTTCTCCGCAGCGGTGAGTTTCGGGCGACGCTCCTCCCCCGGACTGTCGTCGTCAGAGAGCACCACGCGGGCCCGCTTCGACTTGGACTGTAGGCGATGGCGCAGCCTCCGCTTCAGTAGCGGAACGTCGTCGTCTGTCCCAAGGCTACATGGGTCGTCGTCGCCGCTTTCACCGTCAAATAAGACGGCATCCGCAGCAACCGTGTCCGACTCTGCCACAGCATCCGCATCCGCAACTGCGGCCGCGCCGTCTTCAGCCTCCTCATTCGCATCCATCGCCGCTTCCTGTGCATCCGCCGCTGCCTCCGCGTTGTCACCATTCGCATTTTCACCTCCGTCGTTGTCCGAATCTCCAGCCCGCCACTCTTCCACCTCGTCGTCGCTCCCGACCGGCCGATTCCACCATTCGTCCTCCTCGATGTAGGCAGGACCTAATTCGTCGCCCGAAGCGCTGTCGTCGTGGCCGTTCTCTGGCCAATCCTCCTCGGCGTCGTCGCCGTTCGCTTCTTCTCCGTCGTCCCCGTCACAGCTCGCACCGGAGGCCGCGGTAGGACTTCCCGCCTTGCTCGCGTTCTTCGCCATGGCTACACGGATGTCATCGCCGGGCGAGTTAATTCGCCCGTAGTTATTCACCTGCACGTGAGGACGAGGAGAGGACGAGCCTGGGGGTACTTTGCTGCGCATGGTTAGAAAGCCTGCCGAGAGCAAGGTTGAGACGAGTATTCCTAAACCCTTGAGCACCAAATGAAGTGAGAGGCCGACTACCCCCCCCAGCCAGAGTGCCCCATCCACAGGTGCCGAGCCGCTCCTCTACGAGGCATCTCCTCGTAGAGGACAGCCCTCACGCTGCCAACGTGCTGCCAGCAGCGTTCTGGAAGCATCCCTGCGCTGCTGGCAGCAAAACGACGCTGGCAGCATCATTAGATGCTGCCAGCACAGAGGAATATTGCCAGCGGTGGCAGCTCCCTCACATGGCAAGTGTGGGCGCTGCATGCATCACCACCGAGGTCGGCCTGTTTCAATGAATCTGGTCTCTGGGTGTTTTCTACACACTTTGCAAGTGTTACAGTCAACTTAATTTTTTTTCCATTTATAAGACTTATAAGACACCCTAAACCATCCCGTTTACAAGATATCTCAAGCATTTTTGCCCGTGTACGAGATAAGACATATATGTCTTATATCCGGGCGATGACGGTACCATTCCAGCCGTACCGGTATCTTGTCATTTCGGAAAGGAACTATTACTCCATATTGCGCTTGTTGAATATCTTAACACGGTGAACTAAGAGCATCTCTCAGTTCCTGCAAATCAGAAAAAACCTCATGACAATTATGACATGTAAAACAATTGGCCACTCACTATACATAGCAAGGCATGGCATCACAACCATCTTTTGGGCTCTGTGTGATCATTCCAATGGCACAGAACCCCAAAAGATGGTTGTGCTCTAGCCTGGCACTCCCTACCCTACCCACGTCTTTCCCTGCTAACATACATCCTAACTAACCTTATCCAAAGGGGCTAGAAGCAGTGTGCGTTGTGTACATCTGTGACTTATTGAGGCCGAAGAGCGATCCGGCGAGCCAAGTGATGAACTGATAAACCAAAGGCCCCACTGCTTTAAGACCAGTCTCGGTAGATGGCGCAGTGGCACAGGAAAAGTCCACCGAGATATGACCACTGAGATGGCAGGGTTGGGAGTTAGGGAGGGAGAGAGAGAGAGAGAGAGAGAGAGAGAGAGAGAGATGAGCAGGGAGGTAAAGGTTGATATGATGAGAGAGGTGGAAGGGACATGGAAACGGAGAGATGGAGGAAGACTCACGCAGCAGTGAAGTGGAAGGCAAGGGTCTTGGAGTTGGTGGGGGAGTGCGCCCATATGATCCGATGGACGCCGCTCATCTTCACAGGAATAGACCCCGTGTTGGCCGTGCGGGAGAACCTGATTGTTCAACGAAATGAAAAAGAAGGGAGGGCGTTCAGACAGACAGACAGACAGCAGGTGGGGGAGTGGGTGACAGTGGGGGAGACAGAAGAATATAATGGCGGGTGGGCAGTGACGGTAGCTTATGTGATGTCGCGATCTCGCACCAATGTGCAACCCACTCACTGGATCACTGTGGAACCAGAAGCAGACGTCACGGTCCCAGCGCTGCTGCCAATGTCAAACGAGCCGCCTTTTAAGGAGGACATGGTGTAGCCGTCGATGTAGTACGGGCTGACGAGTCCCCCATCCCTGTTGCCAATGATAGCATCGGCGGGAGCCATGCCTCCTCCAGAGGCCCAGCCGAGGGAGAACCAGCCGTTGCTGGCGCCGCTGCTGCTCTTGAGCTCCACGGCCATGTCCAGCTGCGAGGCGGACGCGCGCTTCCAGTGCAGCAGCACGCTGGAGAGAGGGGGAAAGAGGAGAGAGGGGGAAAGGGGTGAGGAAAGAGGGGAACGAGCTCTTGAGCTCCACGGCCACGTCCAGCTGCGTGGCGGATGCGCGCTTCCAGTGCAGCAGCACGCTGGGGAAGGGGGGAGGAAGCGGCAGGGGGATGGGGTTCGAGTGCAAACGGTAGGGGGAATAGAGGGGATTAGTGATGTGCCTTGAGCTCCACGTCCAGCTGCGAGGCGGACGCGCGCTTCCAGTGCAGCAGCACGCAGGGGAGAGGAGGGTGGAAGAAGGGGAGAATTGGGGAGGGGAGGTACAAGGGAAAATGGGTTACATGTTTTGAGAGGCACAAGGGAGCTCCATGGAGCTTCCAGTGGAGCAGAATGCTTGGGAGGCACAAGGGCATGGAATAGGAGAACAGAAGGGGGGATAGAAAGCAAGGGTGCACTGCAGGGTCGGGGCGAAAGTGCATTAAATCAGCAGGAAACGTGACTCTAGTGGCCTCAAGTGAAGTGGGGTGAGGGCGTGATTCTAAAACGTTAGGCTCTGCAGGTGCATACCCGGGTTTAATCTGCGCCTGGTAGGAGTAGCCGCAGAGGGTGGACGCAGGGCATGCCGTGCCGCTCACGCCCGAGTTGCCTGTGCACATGCCTGCTCCGGTGCCCGAGCCTGATCCCGAGCCTGATCCCGAGCCTGACCCCGAGCCAGACCCTGAGGCTGTGCCATCGCAAGAGAAATCACCTGTCTTGGCTCCTCTGGAGGGTTGGGAAACAGGCGGGGACGAGGAGGAGGAAAATTAACACACATTTGGAGGGTGAAGAAAGAAAACTGTGGGCTGAAGGCACGCCTACAGCTGCTATGAATTGAGAGCCATTCAGAAGCGAGAGCGCGCGAGGCGGTAATACCTGTGCGAGCCGCCATGGTTGGCAACAGTCTTCGAGCTGCCAGACTCCGAGTAAGCCCACACGAGCTTGTTGCTCCCCGCCACCTTCACCGGCACAAGGCCGTTCCCCGACGCGCGCGTGAACTTCACAATCGTTCTTCCGCCCGACGCGGTAACGCTCGTGCCGGTGATGGCGAAGCGCGTGGTGGTAACCACATTCGAGTAGCTGGATATCGCGTACGTGCCGACGCCGCTGGCCGTCGCGAGGTTCCCGATGACGGCATCGGAGTTGAACATGCCGCCGTTGGTCCACGCCACCGAGAACCACCCGCCCGCCGCGCCGCTCGTTGGCTTGGCCTCGAGCGCGAGGTCGATCGTTGACCCCGTTGACTTTTTCCAGTGGAGGATGAGCCTGATAAGAAGAAAGCGACATGGAGAGTATGATCATCACGAGACTGGAAAAAATCCAAGAATTCACATAAGAAAGTGTAGGCGACTCGAAATACGTGAACGGTTCAGGGTAGGACGACAATGATATATTTCAGTCTGGGATTCTTCGCTACTTTCGAGGATAATCTCTCAAGCTCCGATTTCAGTACTCACCCTTTGCCTGAGAGGTCCACAGAGCTCGTGTAACCCGCGAGAGTCGACGCCTGACACGTGGATGTCGAGGCAGGGGTCGCCAATGGTTTCGCCGCTGCTCCGCTGCTGGCTACAGTTGCGGGCCCACTTGTAGGAGCAGCGCCAGTAGGAAGAAATTTGCGCAAGCTTTTCAGGCTGTTAGCGAGGCGGCCTTGGGAATGTCGGGCGGACGGACTTGAATGATCGCCGGCGGAGCTCGCATCGCCCGAGGCGGCTGCGGCGATTTCACACACCGCGGCGACGAGGAGGAACATAACGCTGAGGCGCATGGCCGTGATACGCGCCGGTTTGCTTGCTCTGGGTGCGGCCATGAGGACGGGCGAGTGTTAGCGCAGGAATATTACTAGCCTAAAAACGCAATTTTCCTTTCTCGCGATGAGTAGGTGGAATGGTGTTGGGTAGGTAGCGCTGAGCGAACTTCACAAGGCAGGAACGTGAAAGGAGGTCGAGAGGGAATGGTGTGGTGGCGCAGGGCTGTGGCTGACGCAAGAAACAGCTTCACTTATGGAGGAATTTCTGAGAGAGCACTCAGTTGATACAAGAGAAGAAACTTAACTGATCACTCTAGACGTAAAGCTCTGCACCGTATTCTAACTCACCGAACCACAACAGTAGAAGAATTCATCGTGTACCACACGCGCAGATCTTTCATGCGCTGGCTTGGGCCTGGTTCGGGTTGTAGTCGGTGAGAGGGACCCTGGTCTGGAATATTTGGTGCTGGTTAGGAAGGTGGCTTGGGCGCCCCGCGTCAGACCAGATTGGGTAGCAAGTGACACGACGTTTGGGCGTGGCGTGGAACGGTGAAATAAGATTTTGACTGGGTGGTAATTGTCAGGAAGAAGAGCCCTTCCCGTAGCGCACATCGTGCCTCGAAACAACTGGCTCGATAAAGCCGACGCGCGCCGCATTTTCCAGCCCAGGTTTGGTTAATTGGCTAAATCCAGACCAGTCAACAACGTTTGTCGGCCTGACAGGTCGAACACCCCCAATCTGAGGCTCGGTGAGAAAGCTAAAACCAATCACACTAAGGCTCCAGCTGGCGCGGGAGCCAAACCGTGTGTGACGTATACCTCGTCACCGACACCGACCCTTGTTGTAATGAATATACATTCATTACTGTAGAAGCTGCTCCTAGCGAGGACAGCCCGAGCACTTCGCGTCAGGATGGCTCGGCCTACAATTCCGCACCGAACCAATTCCGAGTCGCCCCGCACCAATCGCGACACTTCCAACGCATCCACGTCCCGAGGTCCTCGCCTAGCACGGTTTCGACCCTATAAATGCGTGCTTCTTTATCATTCAGGAATTCTGTAATTCATTCTCTTTATAGAATTCTTCCGCGCACTCTGTCTAGTAAAACTCATAACACTTGGTATCAGAGCTACTTTCCTAGCTTCCCCGTTTTTTAGAGTGTAATACCCCTCGGGGGGGGGGACAGGGAAGGATGCCGTGGTGACAGGAGCAGCGCAAGAGCCGGCCAGGAGAACGGGTAGTTGCTCCTAGCGGCCATGAATTTCAAGGCGCTCCTGCGGCACCGACGGATCCTTGCCCTCGACGGTCGAGATGGACCGTGGCCTCCCTCCCCCCGGGTGGCGGACAGCTTTTGCTGTCGTCGCAATTAATGCGTGAGTAACAGTGGTCGTTTTCGGCAATTTCGGAGTTAATGCTGTGTAGCGGCTGACGTCGGCAGGCTCGTCGTCGGCGCACGTCCGAAGTTGTCGGAAGCAAGATCGTCGTGCGAGTTGCGTCGACACATGGTCGACAGCTGCGCGCGACACAGGGCTGACGTTTCATATTAGGCCTCCCTGATTCCGGGGAAAAAATTTCCCCTCTATTATGAGTGCACATTTTTCAGAATAATGCTACTCTGATTGCTCAGGGTTGAAAAGTATATAACTCTGATTGTTCAGGGTCGAAAATCGAGGATCAGAGTAGTAACGCGCCCTTTGTTACAGGGGAAAAAGTCTCCCTCTGCGTAAAGTTCGCGCTCTGTGTTTCGCGCACACTTTGAGCGCGCTAATTTCCACCCTTATAGTGTTACGAAATGGTATTTATGCACACGTTTTAGTGGGGGGAAGAGATGAGCGATTTCGCTCAACCAAACATTTCGATTCGATACCTGAATGTGGCCAACATCGCTGTGCGAAACGCAGAATAAGTTCTGGAAACTTTACGCACACGCACTTACGACAGTGGAACAACTTATTCGCATTTCGTGAAAATAACAAACATCGAGTGTACTCGCCTGTCAGACATGCTGCTGTCCATCGCTCACGCGCTGGCTGTACTGCGATCAAACCGAAGGGGGATATCGGAAGGAAATTTCCAAGAACCTTCCTCTCGATAAGGTAAAAATCAGGGACCACAGATTCGATACCCTATTAAGTCAGGGTCCACTAACAGGCTAGTCTGTTACACTACACTCAAAATCAGGGATAGGAAAACTACTACTCTGATTTGAACAGGGTTGAGAACTCAGTAATTCTGAAATCTCAGTCTCCGCAAAGTGGAAAGTCTGAAATCACCCTGAAATCAGGGTAATTACCCTGATAAAATCAGCCCTGGCGCGACAATTACGGAGCTAGCTGCGTGCGGCAGGTGGCGATGGGCGTCTTCGTCACGTTGCGCACGAGCTAGTGGAAGTCTTCGACAAGTGGCGCGTCGTCACTGTGCGCGAAGATTTCGGGTAGCAGCACGTGGAAAACGACTGCTGGTCGAGCAGCCAGGCGCAATGTGTGATTTGCGTCGGAAAAACCGACGGCGAGGAGAGGCGGCGTGGCGACTGCCCGAAGAAAGCGGGGGTCTACCGTCGTCCCGCCCGGGTGCGGCAGGTGTTGCTGCAGGAGGGTGCGTCGTGGGCGTTTTTCGGCAGAGCGGCACAGTGTGGGACGGAAGTTGTTCTTCAAACCACCGAAAAGTTCGGAAAAGGCCGCCTACGACCAGACTGTTCCGGCTTGGGTGACTACTGATTCTGGCACAATGTTCATCGGCGAAAATTTCGGAGCAACAGTGGCCGCCGATTCTGCACTTCACGCGGCACAGTTCCCTCCGGCCAGAGGTACCTGTGTTTGCAGACAGCCCAGTACACCACGGAACAACGATTCGGCGCAGCGTTTAGACCCGTGAATTTCGGGGGTTCTACCGGCTACAATAAACGGAGTTGCGACTAATGCGGGTCCGGCGAGAGAAACGGGTTCCGACTTCAGGAGGCGAGAAAACAACCTACAGCGACGACTTTTGCTGAGGCCGAGTCTCACGGCTAAGCGGCGGTAGCAGAAGGAGCTCCCTACCGGCCAAGTCTTACGACGTTTCACATACCTCACACCAGAAAAGCCTCGAAGGCAATTCGTAAGTCCTGTTGGCTACTGGATAAAAAGGTGGGGCCCTGTGTTTTAGCCCTGTGCTGGTTAGAAAGGCGTGGGTGGCGCTGGTTCGACGGCAGGGCGTTCAAGAAAATCTTCAAGCGACACTGTTTCGGCCCCGACAAAAACGGACCATCGGCAACAGTACTCCGCCGAAAATGTCGGAGTCGAGGAAGTTGTGGCAGCTGGCGGTGTTTCTCCTGATTCAACGGACTACCCAACGGCGGTGTAGCAGCGAAGATGGAGTTCCCGAAGCTGCGGAGTTTTAAAATGCGATAGGCACGGTGGGCAGCGAAGCGGCCGGCTGAGAGTTTGATATGATAAACTCGCTCCGACTACGATTGCGTTCGCGCCTTCATCGAAAGCTAGAAAAATTGCGGGTCAACACGAAGAATGTCTCATCCGACAAAAGCGGATGCTGGGTGAACGGCGGCATGCGAAATTGTCGGGGGGCGAAAGCAAACAAAGGTGGGAAAGTTGTGGGTGCCGCTTCAAGCTACTTGAGTGATAGGCTGAGCCCGTACACCACTCCACCGCGAATTTCGGAGTCTATTCGGTAGACCCCCGAAAGGGATTGATATCGTTACATGGAGGCGCGGCGAGGGGTGTATTGCCAAGGATGCCTGGGATTTGCTAAGTAATTTCGACAGGTACGAAGATGGGTGAACGTCGGAGTACCAGGGTTAACGGCGGAAATGTCGGGGCTACAAGGCAGAAAAAACTTCGGGGCTTGATTCCTCAACCACGATTTTCGGGTGACAATTCGACGGTGGGAGACGGGTGCACGTCTACTCGCCAGTTGTTTTAAGCTTCACAGTGTACTTCAAGAGTTTACTTGGGGAAGTTCAACGGCGAGATCTGCGGCGTTGATGCGCGCTAGGGTCCGTGAAAATCGGTCTCGGAAGACCCATAAGTACTGGGTTCCACGCGAAAAAAGCACCTCGTGTTGGTGGGTCGCTTGGGTGGTTAACCGCACGAAAAAAATGGTGACCGGGTGGGCGCGATAGAAACACCGGTTCTTTCGGGGGACAACCTGCAGGCGACCAAGACTTTACGTGGGGTGGAAATTTCCGACATTTACGGGTGCAACGAGCAGTTCCGAAAAGAGTTTTAACGGAGTCAGCAGGGTCGCTGACAGTATCCGTGCCGACGGCCGACTGCAGCGTCGCTTGATTAAGCGCGCGAAGGCACTCGTCGTCAAATGTGTAGCCGTACAAATCGGAAGCTGCTCGGGGGTACCAGCCGCAACACGAGGACGATTTTTTCAACAGGTGGGGGGAGAAAGCGACAGCTGTTTTCGCCCCTGCCCGGAGGTTTTCGGCGATTCACGACAACACCGACAATGCAGCTGACGTCATCGACAGTTCGAGTTCAACTTTGAAAAAATATTTGCGAGGTCAGGGGGAAGAGCAGCAGCTGTTTTTCGCCTCTGCCCGGTACTTCTCGGCGAATATCGACAAAAACCTCGGCGAGTCTGGACAAGACTGCCAGGGGCGCCGACAGCTGGAGAAGCTACAGAGAGGATTTTCGACATTGCAACAAGACAAACGGCAGCAATTTCGGGACTGCAGCAGCTGACAACTGAAGATACTGCGGCAGCAGGGTGATTCGGTGCTGCCACGCGGAGATTTTTGGGTGGCAGTCTTTTCCAAAAAGGTGGAGAAAGTGCTCTCGCACTGTACTTGTCAGTTTTTTCTGACATTTCGTCTGACAGATTCAGCACGACAGACGCTCGCGATCACATCAACGACATCGACGGGTCCTGCTTCATCGACTTCTGACAACGCGTCAGCATATCCGCCCACGACGTGTTCATCTTGACCGTCCGACAGAGATCCACCACATCGACGGTTCTCATTCATCAACGGCTTTTCAACTCGACATTCGAATTCAACCGCCCGATCGTT